GCAGTTTGATCACAGACATTTTGCTCAGGGCCTGGATTTAACTCGATATCACCGGACATCAAAAGCTTCATTTTCGATACACAATATCTTTTGGTACAGCTACATGATTTCACTGTTTTGTGCTTAACTAAACAATGCATACTTGCTTGTTTACTATTTTGTAACAACTTGTTTGCTGCCCATCTTTTAAGATTTGCAAAGTCGGTAAAAAAACAGTCGCATCTGTGTACGTATATTACATACCATAACTTATAGTCAGTCTCTAAACTTGAACAAACTCGAAGATTCAGGAGTAAACTTCCCGAAAATGCGCTTCAGCTTGCGTCTAGCTTTTCTCTTTTTCATGGAGCTCACAATCTTTTTTATCGGTAATCTCGACGGCACTCGGTCTCTATGACGTTTTTCCTGTACTTTGCAATGTCTATCAAATTCTCTCTCACACGGCGAGCGCACCTCCTCATCAGTGCTAACCATCGCATGGAAAGATTCATTAAAAACGACCCTTGGGTGATATTTAACAAGATTACGAGTTCTAGTATGACTTTGTCGGAAGGAAATCGCCACAGCTTTCGTATATGTTTGGCTAATGAAGGTATTTTCACATTAAATCCTTCAGCGGCGAAAGATTTTCTGCCGTTTTCATTTCCCTGACAGGGCTTATTTAATCCCTCAGCAGGCTTTGTTATCCACAAAAGGGGCTCAATATTTCCCATAACGGGCTTTTCTTTCCCCAAACGTGGCTCATAAAGCTTAATTTGTATCCTCTTCGCAGGCGGTCGCAAAATTGCAGCATGGAGATTCTGTCGGCGCCAAGTACATTGATCTTCAACTTTGAAGCACCTTTTGAAACCTTTCATTCGGCCGGATTGACACATATTTCGAAAGCTGTGGCATACTGAGAAAATACGTCTTGAGAAATTCATCACAAAGTAAGAAACTAAAAGGTAACTTACTGATAGGACAACTCGTATCACACACGTCCAAGAAAGCAACAAAAGGAAATCGTCGTAGAGAGTTTTCTTGCAGTTGTCGGGAGTTGTCGTGGAAAGCACATGGTATTGGCGCAATAGGCCACTTGCACTAAGAGGTCACGTGACCAATGCTTCCTGTAAACAATGAGTTGGAATCTTGCTGATGCCAAAAATTGTTAGAGCAGACAAAAATTATCTTACATCCTAAATTTGAGAGGAAACGCACTTAAGGGAGATATTTTATGGCACTTTGCTTTTTCAGCAAGGTAGTATGATTTGTATTGGCCGCCATGTTGGAGGGCATGCTTTTGCCCTCCAACATGGCGGCCAAAACTACTTCTTGCTTATATCTGGTTCAACGTTTCATAGTTACGCTCAGATCTGCTGTAAACGTTATCACATCATCTTTTCAACATTTTCCTTGAAGTTTAAGTGCAAAATTTGTGTTCAGAGAGAGGTAATTCATACCTTTAAAAATCACATTTTGGTCACGTGACCATTTACGAACTTATTCATTTTAAGAAAATGGTGGCCCAAACTTTTTGGTTTACTGATAATAAAACAAATTCATATGACCCACTAATCGTTTTTCGAAGGCAAAATCATGTAACTTTCATTTTCATAAAAACGATGTCACATGCCTCTTAGTGCAAATGGCCTATTGTCGTCTCTACTAATACACATTCGATTGGTTCCGATTGTCATTGGTTGATTATTTCGGGTCACGAAGAAATTATGAGTGATTATCGATGATATTACCCTCCTAGTACCCATTAAAGAATGATTCATGTGTCACGTAGGAGAAACCTCAGTGAAACTTTATTCTTATGACGTAATAATTTGCCATATATGAAGCACTAACCAAAGGATTTTAGCGTTTTCTCATAGTGTCTGTGCTTCGCACTAGACACAATAAAAAGTGACAGTCGAAAAAAAAAAACATGCTCAATCACAAGACTCAGGAAAGATGTATGAGAGAGATTTCTACAGCCATGTTTTTGCACATCCAGTCAGATATATAAGAATTCTAATTTCTTATACCGCACATTTGTCACATTTATCAGTGTGAACGAAAGTTTATTACCATAAAGAAGCCTGAGTACATGCAAATTTTGCTTCTTCTCGTTAGATTTTTAGAAACGCAGTCCAAGGTGACAAGTTTAATTTAGTTTTTCGTAAGAAGAGTTTTACAGGCAACTCATCAGTTAGATAAAAATCATTCAATACTCTTTGCATTTCAGTATCAACTTTCAAAAAAAATGCAAAAGAGTACTTCTTTAGCACCACTGTTCCTCAACAACACTTGGGTACAGTTCCCAAATCTTGAGCTCACCATATATCAAAAGGTTCTTGAAGAATGCGTACCAACTCATCTGCAATTTCCTCCCTTGCTCCAGAGATTGGCACTAGTTCATACTTTCCGCTACAATCTTTACAACCATCCAAGATTTCTCTTAATTTGTAGAAAAACATCACCATCTGTCAAAACAAACACAGTTTTACGAAAAATCACTGGTTAATACCACATTTATAAGGTCAAACACATTAATGGCCTGCCTGTGGAAAGCATAGTCTAGATTGAGACAAAGTTGCACAATAATGCCTTGAAAGGTATTGTGTGGGTTTTAATCTAAAAGAGCACAGTGATGTAGGCATCTTTTCAGCACCAAAAGGTAGGTAGGTACACATGTAAATGGGTTACTAAGAAAATAAACAAATAAGAGCGCAAGCTAAATCTTTGATTTTAGGTCTTGACATCTAGTTGCTTGTTTCAACAAGGGAAAAAATGCTTTTGGCTGATAACTTCCTGTTGCTTGGGGCATTTAGAGCAAGAGAGAGCCAGCCTGATGAGTAGTGGGGAGCAATAAGAGGTGGTAAGCCATCACACACATCCAGTAACCTTAATAGTAATACATTTGATCTAAATGAGACTTCAAAATTTATTTCATCTAATTAAGATATAAGAATTAAAAAGGAAAACTGTGTAAATTTTACAGCTCCTACTGTAAACAGTATAAAAAAGCACCCTTTTGTTTTGACAGAAATGTTTCTAAACACAGACTCCATCAAGGTGTGTGTTCTGCATTCTGGCCATAGGATTTTAATACTTTTACGATAAAAAAGTAATGGAGGTGTAAAATAATTGAGCCCTGTAATACAATTATTTAATTAAAAGCAGAATATATTAGAGAAAGTACTACGTAGAAGTATCCATATACTTCTAATTTGTATTCCTGCACTCTATCCAAGTTGTATATCCAGAGGCTAAATGTGAAGACTTTTGTTTGCGAGAGGCCGGAGGGCTCACAGGCTAACCCTCCCACCCCTCACAAACAAAACTCTTCACATTGTTACCTTGGGATATGGCAAACACGACCTCGGGGGTCCTGTTGGCCGATACTCACTGGGAAAAGGCAGGTTTGAGGGCAAACTCAAGAGCCTTTGCTTTGTGGCAGCAGTGATAGGTTCTACTTCGCCACTCAGATCAGCAAGTTTACCAGCCATTAGACAGTGTGTGTGCAAATATCTAACAGGGTGCAATCGACTGGCTTGCACCACAGCCGGGCAAAAAACTGTTCTCCGATAGGCGGCCTTTCGTTTGTTGTTTGTTTGTGTGGTGTGAACAATTTTACGTTGGTTTAAGTGGTGCTGTCCACCCAAGTAGTATATTGGGAGGCAACAATGTGAAGAGTTTTGTTTGCGAAAGGCCGAAGGGTGAGCCTATGAGCCCTCCAGCATCTCGCAAACAAAACTCTTCACATTTTGCCTCCAGATATACTACTATCCAAGTATGAGTGATGGGATATATCATACGGATAACTGGTGCAAATCTAGTCCGTGTGACTCTACCATAGAAACTATGCAGCTGCCAAACACTGTAGCTCTACTTGACAGTCATTGGGTATTAAAGAGCAGCCACCTGGTTGGAAAACTGCCTTTAAAAGATCAACAGTACCAGAGATAATGTTATTTATCCCATGCCATGAAGAATACAGCCAAACAGAAAGCTAGAAACCTTTTGCATATTTTGTGGTATCTAACAGGTAGCATTTCACGAAAAAATCCAGGCGATATTTGAAGTCTCCACATTTTCCTGCTGAAAATAGAGCGGATAGCCACAGGCACTTTCAATTCTACCAAAATTTCCAGAAGCAAGTTTGTAAATAACACCGACCCGAGTGTTAACTACCATTCAGACCTCTCAGAAGTCAAAGTTAAAAAATTATAAAAACAGAAATCAAACAGACTACAACAAACAAAAAAGTATAGGATTTTGCTAACCAAGAGCAAGAGAAACAAACCAGTTAAACAGTGTTGAACTTTGAAACAACAAGCCATTATAAAACTAAAATCCCGTCAGAGACATTTAGCAACTGTTTTGCCATTTTCTTTAAGATGCAGGTAAAGTAGACAGAGGTGAATGCAAACTTTATTCACTGACAAATACACAGGTCTGCATTGCTTCTGCGTGATTTTTTTTTCTACCAGTTTTTGTCTCCACACTTTTTTCTGTCTTTTTGACAACCTCATCAAGGTTCAAATTTCCACTGAAAAATTTAGCTGGTTTTAAAAAAATTGACTTATTGTGTGAGCATATGTATCTTTGTGGCTTTGTATCTTGTGGCTTTGTATGTTTGGATGTTTGTTGCAAGAGCCAATAAGGTTGAACGTACTATGAGTTGATGCTTAGGAACCAATGAGATCTTGCCATCTATTAAACATGGCACTGCTGAAGGTCGAACAAGGGCACTTTGAGACTGCCTTCTTGATTCTTCACAATTTTTCGTCTTTTATTACAGCTACAGGTGTTTAAAAGCATTGCATTAAATATATTCATGATTCAAATGCTGTGTACAGTGATGCAGCTATTTAAGGGTTCATATTTAAGTGTGGATGCTTCAAGACATTTCTGACCGAATTCGGCTATCGTGAACCGTACAACGTACATATTTATGAGTTCTGTTTCACATGTTCCAAGATAGAGTATAAAAGATCGTACATTTTCAAAGCTCTTCCAATGAAACAATAATTAATATTATTATTATCACCCTAATGCATTATGCAATGGATTTTATCTTGAAACTAGTGATGCTCTACTGATGTAAATATGCTGCACAACCAAGACAGCTGACTTGTTTATGGATCTAAAAATGGGTCACTAAGTATTCACAGCTTTAGGACACAATGCTTATTTCAATAGGTGTGATTTTTCCACTTTTGATCGAAATATGTAATTTTTTCACTTTTTTTCACATAGGTGAATGACTGTGATTAGTGACACTGGAAAGCATGTTGTCGTAGTTTAGGTGAACATCACCAAAAATTGTAGTTGCACCTTATAACTGGGTATTTTAGCTTAATTTTCAGTTTGTTTAATTAAAAAAAAAATCCATTGGAAGTGTGTCTTATAACTGAGTGTACCTTATAACCAAAAAAATATGGTAGTTAGCACTCATACCTACACAAGACTAATGTTTCTGCCATGTTGGACATTAATTACACACACTCTAATGGTGGGATGCTCAGTCACTTTTTTCCTTAAAACAAATTGCTTGGAAAGGCACCTTTAAGCCTGATTTTCATATGTAGGGAAAATCCCAGACGATCGGGGAGTTTACTGTTTCCCGACTGTCCCAGATTTTGCCGACTAACGAAAACTCAAAATCGTAGATATCCCCGATCGTCTGGGATGGAAGGGGACAAATCTGGAGAATTGGGGGCATTTCTATTTTCCCGACGAGTCCCAGATTTCTGCGATGGTTGGTGATCATTGGGGACGTTGGCGATGGATTTTGCTCATTACCAATCCCCTAAATTACTGGGCTCCAGTCCCCCTATCACACAAGTTTCAAATCTGGGGAGCTCAGCATATAATTTGTATGCAAAATGTAAGATTTTCTAGTCACGGAAGAGCAAAAGTTAGGCCCCCTTGCCAGGGGCCACTGGGCTCTGCCAGAACACAGCCTTGTGTATGCTGTTTCCCGCTTGGATATGACCCTTACAAATGTCTCGGTTTTCATTAAGACTGGTGACATTAAGACAGGTATTCCCCTGGGATACTTGCAAAAACAGAGAGGGGTGTTTCCCACAAAACGTCCATAGTGGAGAGGAGCGAGGAGAGACGGCTGTATTTACGGGCAGTCAGTTGTGTATAAAATTTATCAACACAATGCCTACCTTTCTTGACTAGACTTTGTAGATCAATGTCTACAGCAGCCTCCTTCCATCAGTGCAAGAAAGACACCACAAAACATTTTCTACCTTTTAGTTTAATAAAGAAGTAATGATGATATGTGCAAAATTACTTGTGGTAGAAAAATGAAAACTGCTTAACACAATGTGAGTGTGGTGCCTACTTGCCATTCCAGGAGGTTTAGATCTTGAATTCTAGTGCAACAGTGGACCAAAACAGAGTGAATATGAAGTGTATTACCCTGGTTATGAAGAAAGGGATAGTCTGGAGATTTCAAATGACTGGGGCATAATTGAATTTTGTATTTGTACTATATAAAGCATTATGCAGATCGTGGAGGTTGTTATCCACCCTGGGTAATAACTCCCCGCTCTGAATAATTCTTCATATCATACTAGCTCAACCTTTTTCAATAATTCCTTAGTACAGTATAAGCTCTCTTTATTGAAACACTAGAAGCTGAAAGCTCTACTTACAGCTACCATGACAAAACCATATTTGAACTCTCAGTTTCCAAAAGCCATTCCCATGAATGGCCATCTTCGTGAGGGCGTCCACTAAAGGGAGCTTAGACTGTATTTCTGAAACAAGGCTGAAAGTTACCTGTTCATCTCGGTCTCTTCGACTCAGGCCACACTCTACATGCTGAGACATTTCGAACAGGGACATCAAGGGGAAAGCATACTCAAGAACCAAATAATATACATCAATCTCTCCATCTGGGCGTGGCATCTCTATTCGGTGGACGGTGTGCTTATAGGGTTTCTTTAATATCCCACCTCTGTTAATTTCATATGACTCAAGATTTCCTGCAACTGTTAAAGAACTCAGCCGAAGAAATTACAATAACATGTTTATCGTGTTTCTTGGAAGCAATATGAAGAGCTTTCTTTTTTCAATCTTGTACCTGTACACTGATTGAAGGATCCCTTCATTAAGGTGTGGAAGCACCAGTTTCAAGTAGTCGAAATAGTAGCTCCAAGCTAAACAGCCGCCAATAGTATTGTTGTCTCTCTCGTTGATCATTGATACCTCTACACTAGAGAGTTCTCGCCAACCGACAAGGAAAAGCAGCTGAGGTGACATAAAGCAGTTCAAGGAGAAAAACATCGCGTATTCTGAACGGCAAAACATGTTACAGTGTTCATATAAGAAATAAGACACTATCAGAAACGACGACATGCCGACTACTAAAATAACTTGGCCGTATCTGAAAGTGAAAGTGTATTTGAGAACCTCCATCCAGCTTCCTTTATATCGAGTTCGCCTATGTCGAATTTCTTCAATGACGAGACACATTCTTCGTACCACTTCGCTAAGTAGTAAACTTAGTGTTAAAAGTGCAGCTCCGAAGATCAGAAATTGTAGTTGAACGCGGGGTTCTTCCGAATAATAGGCAGCGTTGAAATGGACAGCTACTGAAAAAGCGAGCACAAAAAATGCAGCAAAACGAGCAGCTATCCCACGAGTATTTAAGAGTGGTCTAAATCCGTCATTTTTCTGGTGGTGATCCATTTGGGCAGGTTAAATGAAAACTACCGCAAAGCTCTCTTTGCCTTCACGGTGTGTGCCTAAATCATACCGTCCAAAAGGACAGCCGAGGAGTACTAGGAACGAGTTTCCGATTCGGGCCGACTTCGGAAATTCTCGAAAACATCCAATATGGCGTCTTAGTTTTCCGGGTCTCAGGTCTTAGGTCTTAGTTTTCCGGACACCCCCAAGTGTGGTGAAAACTGACAGCCAAAGGAGCCGTTTTATCGCCAGAGAAGCGTGACTTACGGTATTATTAACGAAGTTTGCGTTTATTGTGACTTTTGCAGAGTTCTTGGACCTTTATAGTAAGCAATCCTTTAATAAATGTCTTATCAATTTGTCTTGTCCAGCTGGCCGGTATTACCGAAGAAAATAGTGCCGTCCAACGGGACATCCTAAATTATAGCAACATTTGTTGGCATGTACATCACCTCTAGCTTTCATTGCTAAACTGTGTTGTAGAACTTGATTTCTTTAGGTTTCTAAAAGCTTAGGATAACTCTTTAGGAATATTTTTATTCATAAAAGTGGCCCTGCCCTTTTGGCCTGTATTATCCAAGGAAGTAGTACCGCTAGTAGCAGGACATCCTAAACTATGTCAGCAGTTGGTTGCATGTATTACATGACATGCAGCTTGTTATTGTTACATTCTAATACATACTTTGCTCTCTAAAGGCTTTTTCCTACCAGCTGGGGACAGCTGAACAAAGATAGTTTTTTTTCATTCCTTGTTGTTTTAATCACCTAAGAATGTCCACCCAGGGGGGCACTCTATAGGGACTACTCAGGTAGAACAGTGATGGGGAAGTGCAAAACCCTTTTTCTGGTTTGACATTTGAAATCCAAGGATAACCGAACAGGAGTGACTTTTATTCTTGAAAATTGTCTTGTACTTTTGAATGGTATAAGCTAAGAAAATAGTACCACCCAGCAGGACGTCCTAAATTAGATCAGCAAGCTTGTAGGGGTGATGAATGGTATATTAAAATTTTTAACTGCTTGCAAAATTTTACCTTTGCTCGATTTGCTCGCAAAATTTGAAAGAGTGCTCGCTTGATCGTGCTCCCCGAATTTTTGCAGTTGCTCACATGCTCGCTTTCTTGTCAGTATTGCTCGAAATTTTGTAAATCCTTCTTTGGGTTAAAGTAAATGTAATTCTGTATGGTGCTTAATTCCTATAAATATGGCTATTAAGTTCAGTGGAAATGCGCGCAGCAATAAATGACAACGGTAAATAAATTAGCTAATCTAGCTATATATGGTTAAAAAGAGAAGATATTGTTACCTTTAATTCTTCTGAGTTTCTCTACCGCTCTACTCACTGGGCTTTAATTAGGCTGTGTTTTCAATAAAACGGTTTGGAAGCTTTAGGATTCTTCCTGAAGAGGTTGTTCTTGTTTGAGTTGAAATGCTCGATGAGAAGAGTCACCAAAGCTTTCACATTTACCTTGCTCAAGTAATCTCAATGTACAGCTTCTATTTCACATTGAATTTGTTTTAAAGCCTCCAGGGTCATTCTTGTTCCTGAAATAGTCTCGGAGGATGGAACACCATGGGGGCCTTCCACAGAAGTTCTGCCACTGTTTTAAAAAACCCATTTTCAAATATTTTCTGTTTTGTTTTAAAAGAAAGGATTTCCATATGGATTGCTGCAAGCGGAAAATATGAGAAGTGCTTGCTGCTTGCGAGTTGTACTGTCTAAGCTGCTCCCTGCTGGCAAAGCAAATTTTTTCTCTCTGCTTGTGCTCGCAAAAAAATCGCAGTGCTTGCATGCACGCAAAGACCATTCGTCACCCCTGCTTGTGTTTAATTTGTCATGGTTTATCTCATTTGAAAAATGTTTTGAAAGTGAAAGTGTTTTGAATGTTTTGGGGTATGGTAATGTATGCTAATGACATTGAAACAAATGGAAAACAAACATTACCTGAGATAAAAAATTAATTTCCTCTTTATATTTCTTGGGTTACTCAATTATTAAGGAGCACAATGAGTTTGGAGTTGCTTTCAACAATAATTGGTTGTACATGTGTAAGTGTTCGGATCCAGGAGGGGTGGATTTTGATAGCATTTACTTCATGTAAGACTTCACATAATTCCCTTAGGTGGCTGGGTCAATTTGGGGGCAAGGTGGAGGAGGGGTGGTGGGGGTAGTGGGGCTGTTGACAGTGGGGAAGGGGGAAAGTGAAAAATGGAGAGTCTCCAGAATCTACAACCGAGGTTGGCATCTCTGCTTTCCTTGACAAGCAATTTCCCATGCTGCCAAGGTAGGTAGGTTTTTGAGTATGGTAATGTATGATGAGTTTGAAACAAAATAAAAAACAATTTAGACCAAAGATAATATTGAACCACAATTTCAGTATGGAGAGGAGGTGAGGGGGAGAAAAAAAAATAATAATATTTTTATTACTTTCCAAATTCTGGCTTTTCAAATTAATTACAATATTCAATCAAATATGTAAAACTATAAAACAATAAGAAATGATTAAAATCGTATGTATATAACAAGATTTAACAAGGCAATATATTTACAACAAAGCTCCTAAACTTCTCTTTATAAATGGCGCATAAGTTCCTTTTTGAATTGATACAAGGTTTGTAAGCTCAGTGAGCCTTTCAGGTAAGGAATTCCCCAGTGAAACTGCTCGATAATGGAAGGTTCTTTGGCCTGTGGCCGTTCTGTACCCTGGAATGTCTATCTTATTCTTTTTCCATGTGTCTTTATTGTGGATTCCAGGCCTCTTTTTGAACTTCTTAGCAGGATAGTCAGGGGCCAATCCCCTTAAACACTTAAAAACCAGTATGCAATCCCTGTAGATAAGCATGGATTCGACGGACAACCATTTCAGTTCTGTAAGAACAGTGGTAATGTGATCAAATTTCTGCAAACGGGTTATAATCCTAGTTGTGAAGTTTTGGACATTCTGTAATTTGTTGATATTTTTCTTTGTTGTACTAGACCAGATGGACAAACAAGTTTGCTAAAGACCAGTGCATTGATAACATTTAATAGGGTTTTTCTGTCCAAAAGATGTTTTTTACCCTATTAATTTGACTTAAACTTGACAAGCAAGAAGATGTAATAATTGTAATATGTTCATCAAAACTCATTGTAGTGTCCATATGCACTCTAAGGTCCTTCACTGAAACAACCAGACACAACTCTTCCTCCAGTAAAGTAACATGTAAATCCAGATCTGCAGGCGTAATTTGAAGCATTTGATGGGTGGGAATTAAAAGCAATTTCATCTTATCCGGGATAATCTGAAGACTCTTTTGGCAGCACCATGCGGCAATTTTCCTCAGGTCTTTGGTTATATCTTTATATCTTTAGAATAGTTGCTGTTGTCACAAAAAAGATCAAACAGTAAATAGATAAGGGATATTTTCATGAACTTTTTTAAAATAATTTTAAACAATTTTTAAGAATAAAATTTAAAAAGATTTTTAAAAAATGAGAAAATTATACTGCTGTCACAATCTATTACAACTACAGGGTATGATTTGTTTTGATAGTGCCAGCTAGAGAGGACAGCCAACTGTACCGACCTTTTTTTGCTGAATTATTATTACTGACCAGTCAAACAACACACAAATAATGAGGACAGTTAATAAAAATGATTCTATAATAATAAATAATAATACCAGTTCAACAATAACAATAATATTTATGTAAAAGATTTGAACCCAGGAGTCATTTCAAAAGTAGGTTGAGTTTGATCGTCCGGGTGAACATAGTCCTGAATAGGACCGTTGTTGTTGACAGTGACTGACGTTTCGACAACCTGTGATGAAGTCATCTTCAGAGTCAAAGTGAGTTGTATCATGTCAGTTGATGGTATTATACCCTGGTTATTCATCTGATTGGTCAATTACGTCACAATGTTATTGGTCATCTGTCTGTTAAGCCGTGATGTTATTGGCTATGAAGACTCAATCAACTGACGTGATACAACTCACTTTGACTCTGAAGATGACTACCGCACAGGTTGTCGAAATGTCAGTCATGGTCAACAACAACAGTCCTATTCAGGACTACGTTCACCCGGACGATCAAACTCAACCTACTTTTGAAATAATATTTATGATAATAATAGATCTAACTGGCCTTTCCTAGATGTAGTAAGGATGGAGGTATATAATGAATGAAAGGATATCACTGACATTATCGACTGCTGATATGATCAATCAGGAATTTTTCAAAGAACATGAGAATCTCAAACATTGCAAAGTATACCGTAAAATCATGCTTCCCTGGCGATAAAACGGCTCCTTTGGCCGTCAGTTTTCAGTACTCCCGAAAGAGTGTCCCTCGGGGTAGACATTCTTAGGTGATCACAACAACAGGGAATGAAAAAAACTATCTTTGTTCCAGTGTCCCCAGCTGGTAGGAAAAAGCCTTCAGAGAGCAAGGTATGTATTACTTAAGCAATAGAAAACGTTTTCCGTGTTTGCATAGCCTGATATGAAAACGAGAGGGGTTGGGAGAATTTGAGACAGTTATGCAAACCCGAGACGAAGTCGAGGGTTTGCATAACTGTCAAGAATTCTCTCAA